AAAGCTTGGATGGTTCTAATCTCCTCTAAACAGCTTGGAAGCTTCAAAACTTGTACTAGTGGAGTTTCGAAGCTTTAAAGATTCTAGTATTGGGGCTTTGAAGCTTCAAAGATTCTAGTATTGGGGCTTGGATGGTCCAAAGCTTCTATTAGAAAATTTGGAAACCTCAAAGCTTCTACTACTGGAGCTTGGAAGCTTCAGAGCTTCTACTAATAGAGCTAGGATGGTCCAAACCTCCTACTAGAGAGACCTTACACGATCTAAAGTTTCTATTAGAGCAGTTGGATGGTCTAAAGCTCCTGTTAGCAAATTTGAAACCTTCAAAGCTTCTACTAGTAGAACTCGGATGGTCTACAACTTCTATTAGAAAGTTTGGATGATTCAAATTTTCTGTTAAAAAGCTTGGAAGCTTCAAAACTTGTACTAGTGGAGCTTCGAAGCTTCCAAGATTCTACTATTGGGGCTTCGAAGCTTCAAAGTTTCTAGTATTGGAGCTTGGATGGTCCAAAACTTCTATTAGAAAGCTTGGATGATTCAAATCTTCTGTTAAAAAGCTTGGAAGCTTCAATACTTGTACTAGTGGAGCTTCGAAGCTTCCAAGATTCTACTATTGGGGCTTCGTAGCTTCAAAGATTCTACTATTGGGGCTTCGAAGCTTCCAAGATTCTACTATTGGGGCTTCGAAGCTTCAAAGATTCTACTATTGGGGCTTCGAAGCTTCAAAGTTTCTCCTATTGGAGCTTGGATGGTCCACAACTTCTATTAGAAAGCGTGGATGGTTCAAATCTCCTGTTAAAAAGCTTGGAAGCTTCAAAACTTGTACTAGTACAGCTTGGGTGGTCCGAACCTCCTACTAGAGAGACCTTGCATGATCTAAACTTCCAAATTTCTACTAGAGCTTGTCGCATGGTCTACATATCCCAATCAGAAAGTCCTCGGTCAGTCCTAAATCTTCTATAATCGAACGTCTCAAGAACAACGTATCCTTCGTATCCGAAATTTCTAAAACATAAGGCATGATTCGACCCCTCCCCCCGAGGTGTTAACGTAACCTCAAAATGGACGCTTTAATCCCGCCCAACGCTGCCACGGCCCGGCAACCTTTCTCCTTCTGAACCGGTTTTCCGTCTCTTCATCTGTTTTCTTTCTGTCCGCTTAGGTTGCCTCCCGATTCGCAGACACAGGCTGCGACGATTCCATCAGGACCACGCCGCGTCCTGCTCGAGCAGACCCCGCTCACGGTCCTGCGGCTGAGCACCTGTGCTCCGCGAATCGGGACCCGGGGATAACTCGCTGCTCTCGCGTCGAGCTAACTAACCAGCCTAAATACGCACGTGGGAAACGACAAAAGCGAGAACGATTATCGATGCAGGAAATGTTTTCGTCGCTTCTGTGGGTCGGCCTCTGTCGAGAAACAGTCTCGCCGAGTGCCGAGGGTAACGTGCGTGGCGCACGTACGTGCTCCGGCGGTTGTTTTCTCGCCTTTATTTAACCTTCTGCGTGATCCGCTTGCCGAAGCTTTACGAGCGACTCGTCCAACGACGCATAGAAACGGTAGTTGCGGTTCCCGAGTCTCACTCGAGCTGTCCCTCTAACAGGTAAAGGAATACCGCATCGCTGGGCCGAGTACACGAGATATATCGACGCCTAACAAGAGATAAGAGACTCGCGCGTGACTACCGACCGCGTTACGGGAAAAGGATGATAGAAGCTTGGTCCAGAGGAGAAGGAAAGAATTCTCAAGATCACAACCCCTTTGGTTCCCTTGTTCCTTTCCGCGTCCGTGCATCGTTCCCTCGAATTCTTCCTCTCCGACTCCTCGTCATCGTCATTGCGTTTGTCGTTTCCTTTCTGTTTCGTTTCATCGCTGACGCCCTTCCCGACAACTACAAAAGTATCTCTTTCGTCATCACCGCACACACAACACACGTACACGTACACCGTACCACACGCTTCTCGACGAGTGTCATCCGTTCTCCGTTCCATCGGCAGGGATTTACCGCATTTTATATCGTTCACTTTTTCTCCGCATTGCACCTCATGTCCCCCTCGTTCGTTGGCTCATCTCTTACCGCAAAACATCTCTTTATTCTGTGTCTTGTATATTATCGCTGGCTGTTTCAGAATCGTTCGCGGCACCGTTACCGGGACCGAGGTTGCGTTCACTGGAAATCGGAGAGCGATGATCGTCCTTCGGATCGGTTGTTCATCGCGCGTTGCACTAGGAATCGTTACACCGAGTTACTTTCTTAGTATAGAGTATGTTTCACCGGAGGCAAGTCTCAAAGCTGTACTTAAAGCCGTACGTGGAATATATCTCGGAGGCGATGCTTTTATTATTTTTCAATTGTATCTTTCACGATTGAACAAGATTTAGTCAGTGTTCTATTATATTGGGTTGTCCGGAAAGTCCATGTCGATTTTTGGTAGGTGGTTACAGGTCTGAATATGTCGAAATGGTTGAAAACGAATGACATGCATACCTTAACGTACACCTCTTAAAAGGTGGAAAGGTTGTGGAACAAAATGGCACCTATGTAATTCAATAAATACATGTGTATATTATATGCCTTTGAATTTTTGTGAGAAATTGGCACGAACTTTCTGGACCACTCAATATAGAATACGTAATAAGGTTTTAGTCAGAGAAATGTCAGGAATACGATGGTAAAGTTTTAAAGTTTTCTGTGGTTTTGTATGGAAAGCTTTTGTATGGTACATATAGTATTCTACGAAACTTTTGTATGATATATAGAGTCTTTTAGAAGTCTTTTATATGATACATGTAGTCTTCTAGAAGTCTTTTGTACGATACATGGTTCTTTTTGGAAGTCTTTTATATTATACGTAGTCTTTTAGAAATCTTTCAAAGGTATCTGTTTGTTTATTCCAAAGCAAAAAGAAAAGACACATTTACTTACATACTTCAAATTGTTCAAAATAATTAGACATCGTCTTCTTTATTATGATTAGTACATGACAAACTAAACACTCTACTAGTCGTTTCTATTCTTTCCATTAATCTCAGAATATTTCTTTTAATAGAATCAAGAAAAATTTCTCTGATAACAAATTCTCTCGAATTGAAAATTAACGAATCTGAATATACAAACTTGAGAGAAATAACAATAAAAAACGTGAGGAACACCATGGTCCCACTCAAACTATGCAGCTTTATAAGTAACGATTCCTCGTGCAACGTAGATTGGAAATTATTCAAGGCACATATGTGTTAGATGCCGTAACCTCAAATTCCTATTTAAATATCTGAAACTCCTTTGATTTATAAAACAACCAAATTTGGAGCAAAACGAGTCAGTAAATATACATCAGATTATTCGATTAAACAATCAAAAGTTGCTCGCAGAAAATAGTATGCCCTCCGTTGAATTAAATAGTGACAATCAGATTATCCGATGCATTAGCCAATCAAAGTCAATTTTTACAATATTTAGTAAACTTTCACAATAAATAGCAATCATGTTCTAGATTGACTTGCTCTAAAAGAGAAACCACTTTATCTACCAGGCTATTTAGAAACAGTCTTCAACTCTTTGCACTCGAGGCCTTTTTTCTGGTGTTCACCAGCAACTCGAGATGTTTCTTGGCATTGCCATGAATTCTAAGCTATCTAGATTTCAGAATAAGCCCACCTTTACCTCACCGACAATCATTTTATTGACACTTGGAGCTCCAAAGAAGTGAAACCTAAAGAAACATTAGGTATTATAGATTTGCTTTGTGAAATCTAATGGTGACTGAGAGTCACCTCTCGAGTGCAAAGGGTTAAAAAGAAGGATGTATACGTCCACAATTATTATAATCTATGGAGGCTTTAATTCCAAAGTCTTTGACACATGGAGACTCCGAAACTCCAACTTTGGAGAACTACGAAGAACTCTGAAGATGTTCCATCATTTTTGCATTAACCCTTTGCACTCGAGGCCTTTCTTTCTGGTATTCACCAGCAACTCGAGATGTTTCTTAGCATTGCCATGAATTCTAAGCTATCTAGATTTGAGAATAAGCTCACCTTTACCTCATCGACAATCATTTTATTGACACTTGGAGCTCCAAAGAAGTGAAACCTAAAGAAACATTAGGTATTATAGATTTGCTTTGTGAAATCTAATGGTGACTGAGAGTCACCTCTCGAGTGCAAAGGGTTAATTCAAAAAAGAATTTTCTACGGTAGCACATACCAATCTAGACTGGCAACAATTCCTCCGTACTGTTACTAGGTACAAATAAAGCCAAGTCAGTTTCCAAACCCTGAACACTGTAGACAACCATCGACACAGTAAATAAATTCGAGTAACTAAATACTGCAATTAAAAAAGCAATTAAAAAAAATGAATAGACTCCTGGTAAATAAAGTGTTAAGAAACCTCTGCTTCCAGTGAACGACTAAGCTCGCCAAAAAAAACTCAGCCCAAAAATGTTTCAGGATTCAGCAATATCCCACGGTCGAATGTAATCGTGCGTTGCCCCTGAAACAGCCAGCGAATCTCTGTGTCCGTCTGCTTTCCTTTCTCGGCCTCTTCCGATCACCGTTGTGCCGCCGATTCTCGCCAGTAAAAAAAAAAACGAGAGAGAGAGAGAGAGAGAGAGAGAGAACGAAATACCGTTAATTAATCGATAGAAAATTTGCCAGCATCGCCATAAACGCCGTTAGAGAACCGTGGTTAAGCGTCCAAGCTAAGGAGCGAGGGGAAACACACACACAAAATAAAATAAATAATAACCAAAAAAAAAAAAAAAAAAAAAAACACGTTGAAACAGTGAAAAATTTCGGGTGCAGTGCGTCGAGGAGCCGGCTCTGCGAGCTTTGACCGATTCGCATCCATCAGCCACAAAGTAAAAATAATAATGAGTAATTCAAAAGTAAAAAAAAAAAAAAAAAACAAAAAAAACAAAAACAAAAACTACCTACTTTGATTATAGACCAATGTAACAGGGATCGAGTGATGAAGAATTGGTTTCATGTTTTTTAAAAACAGATGGGGCCGCGGCCAGCCGGATGATATCGGTGCGATCAATCTCGGAGATGAGAAATTCGACCCCGACTCGGATAAAAAGCCGCGCAAAGGACAAATTCTATGGCTCCGTGGTCTAACACGACTACAGACACAGGTAACTATCCCTATCTCTCACTCTCATGCCACCATCACTCGAAGTCAGCGTTCTCTCGGGTCCCCCCTCCCTGTCCCCGGGAATGCTAGAGAACATGACAAGAACGACGACGATAAGAGACGTTTTCCTCGAGCCTCGGGTCAACGAATCCTCCGTAGGCGTCCTGGCGCCTAGACTCTAGCGACTCGTCTCCGTCAACGCCGGCTATGCGTGTTCGCAGCTCTCGAACACCGTACGTTGGCTGTAACACCGTCGACGCCCGGATATACCATTGCCATCGCAACGACAAATTGTTCTCTTTATATTATAAACCTGCCTGTACAGGGTTCGCTACGACGGGTGAAAACCGCTCGGTAGGGTAAGATTGGGGCTCTTGGAGCCGAAGTGATTCACTCGACCATGTGGTTTCTTGTAACCTCTCAATGTTTCGCTTCTTTCCAGTTGTTCGTCGAGATATCGGTGCCTGGAACCACCTGGTCGCGGTGTCCTTCGACGAATCCAAGTCCTGAATCCATCCTTGAAGCGGCCCGCGTGTTGCGCTGGACCTCACGTTCGCGTACAGTCGAAAGCACATTCGTATGTGGGATGGGAGATTGGACAGGGAACGTACGAGTACCTCTGTTAGGCACGAGTCCAACGAAACAAGAGATTCAGCCTATCGATGCTTCTGTGCTTGCTGAGGGCAGGAATTGATTACGTGGATTTGTATTTGAATCTTAAAAGTAGAGTTCGCTGAATATAGATTGTCAGAGAATCAATTTCTACGCTTGATACATTCTTCAGACGCATTGATATTTATACATTAGGCGTAGAAAGTAATTCTGTCTATCTGTATTTGTGTGAGCTTCATTTAATACTTGTTGAGTTTAAGTAATAACCTTGCATACAAAGCTTGGTAACCTTAAAATCTTGCTTGTCATTATACTTGATATTCACAGTGACTGTGGAAGGATAACGATAAGCAACACTTGAAGGCTACCAAAGTTCATGCAGATGCAACGAGTGTGGTTTCTACTTTAATGCAACAAAGTATATCTGTTTATTTGAATATACATTGACGCAGGATCAATTTCCTCTCCTGATACATTCTTCAACACTTATACTTTCAAGCCCACCTATATATACACATGTATTAAGTATAGAAATTAATTCTGTCTCTGTGTTCAATCATTCGTAAGCTTCATGTAAGTAGAAATATTTGTTGCGTTAAATTACCAACCGTGCTCAAATCTCAACCCAAGGACCATTACAACACACCTACATGCAAAGTCATTTTGCTTATTATTATACTTGCAGTGCATTATATAACTGCAGTGCATTATATAACTGCAGTGCATTATATAACTGCAGCGCATTATATAACAGCAGTGGCTTTGGAAGAATAACGATAAGCAAAGCTTGAGGGCTACCAAAGTTCACGTACTGGACTTGAGCAAGCGTACTTTAATGCAACAAGATATATCTATTTAAACCACAGATGATTGAATACAGCCGCAGTATAAATTTCCACACACCATACATTCTCAACACACTCTCTACAAGCACTTTCCAAATTCAATCCACAGAGCATCGGTGGTGTTGAAATGTCTAGGGAAGTACCCTGACTGTTCGTTGCTCGTTGCAAGGTACTGTGGCACTCTGACGTTTTTCCCAATCAAACTGTCCCCCAGCCTGCGTACACTCTGTTCCCCCATATGTTTTCTTTGATTTTCCTTAACTCGGTTATTTGTTTGAAACGTTATTTACCTTGGTTTGCATTTTCATTTGAGTTCTTTGCCGCGTTACCTCGACGATGCGTACCTTGCGTAACCCTCTTGGCCGATCTTGCGATCCTGTGGTAGCCACGAGCACAAGGAAGGAAGCTCGACGACGAGAATCGAGCCGTCCCGAGTCGAAGGTGGCGGAGAGCCACAGGATGGTCTTCAGGGTCGTTCTAACGTTTCCCTTCTTCCAACGAATCGTTTCTACGGGCCCGAGTTCGTCCTGGTGTTGTCGATCGCGTGTCCTCTGTCGCGACCGAAGCTTTTAACCCTTTATAAGGCGGAGAGAAACGGTAGGGATTGGATTCATCGGTTGGATACCTTCTCGCCTTGGTCGATCGTTTTCGTAAAGGAACTCGGGTGGTTCTCCATTTTTTCTTTTATCGATAACTGCACCACTCCTGATCACTAATTCTACATCATTCCGTAGGTCGCAGCCGCTGGCGCTTATAAAGGGTTAACACATCGGCGAACTTGCTCCTGAGTATTGGCTCAAAGTCGCTTCTTTGTCGAGAGACCATCTCCCAACAAGCTGGAAACAAGTCGAGAACGTCGACTCCCTTTGGGATCGATCGACTGCTTTCGTGTCTTCCGTTCAACTCGTATTCCAACTTCGCAGGACACCTGAACGTTCCACGTTAGGAAAGCACCGACTTTTAGAACGCGCCCGATGCTTGGGAAGATTCATTTAAGAGGAACCACATTAGGAGTATTTAGTATTAAGTGTTTCTCGAGATATTTCTCTTTTGTAGGGAATGTACGTAATGTTTTATAACTCGAGGGATATTTTAAGGAAGGTTTGGAGTACATTTGGTCATTTTTTCAAGTTATTTCATTGAGTGATCTCTAGAATTCCCTAGAGCAAGCTTTTCGAGTTCGTTACAAACGTTTCTTTTTTTTTTTAAAAAAATCAAGAGCTAATTGACCAATCGTTTCAAACTTTACTCTGTATAAAAACCTTGGATACGAACTAAAGATTGGGACGATGTATCATCGTTTATTGTGTAATACATTTTCATTGCAAATAGCTTCTAAAAAAATGGCGTCAATCGGACACCTCTTCTCTAAACGCTCCTGAAGAATTCAATTCAGCAGTTCAGTTCTTATTCTTAGAAAATACGTTGACGATATATTTGTAAAAGGAAATATTTCCAGAACAGCTGAATATCTCGACAACTCGAGGACTCGACTCAGTGAAACGAATCCCTCGAATTACCAAATGTACTTCCAAACATACCTAAAACGTTCGCAAAGTTACAAAGCAATTATCAAAGGTGGCATATTAGGTTGTCCCGAAAGTTTCTTTCGCGAGTTTGCACATCAATTACTTGATGTGGTCGTCTTTATATAAATAGACAATCTAATTTCATAGATATTCATGTTGTAACAGTAATGGAGCAAAACGAATCCGTGCACAATCGAGTAATGTAACATAAAACTTAATATACATATACTTAATATACATATACTTAATATACATATAC